TCAATTATCGCTGCCTCAATTACGGATTCCAAGACACGCCAGCCATCCAAGTGACACCCCCCACACCCACCACCCCACATCCCTCCCATACCCCCATCCAACTGACAGCGCGCCTCCCATCTTCCCGTGTCCCACCAACCCCAACGTGCATCGTGAAGCTGCCAACCCCCAGCCCCGACCTCCCCTCCCTCGTCAACCCCCCCCCACCACCACCCCCACCCCTGTCCGCACCGCTATAATTATTATAATCCAGAGGCCACCCACGCCTTGTCAAGCGCTCCAGCGCCACACCCGCGAGGCCTGTGGGCACCACTGCGATGAATCACGGTGGGGGTTACCTGGCCAGACAATCTGCGCCGTGAGCGGCACTCGTCCTGCGGCGCTTACATACGCGGGTATCTCGCACTCAATCGCAATCGTCAAGCCATCTTCCTCGAATCGACGGCCCCATCTCTCGCCGACTAATTGCGCGATAAATGAGCCTCCTCTACCCCCCCTCCCTCCCCCCCACGGCGTCTCCCCTGCAGCCCCATGCTGGGGTCCTTCACGAAACGTCCGCGCTCACCGCAGAGTGGCGGCGCGATGTTGGAGGGTACGGGGAGAGGGGGAAGAGGAGGAGGGGTGGGGGAGGGGGTGGGGGTGAGAAGTGGGGGAGTAAATAAATAATAAAATTAGCGAACGACACGCGACCCCCCCCCCCCCCCCGCAGCGCGCTGACAACGCCGTGACATTTAAGCGACTCGCTCCGATCCCCCGCGGTGTAGCGAAGCAGCAGCAGCAGCAGCCGTGACAAGACTCGAGCGACGCGAGTTTGACTCCAGAGATCGTCATCATCCCCACTGTGATCGTCATCATCCCCACTGTGATCGTCATCATCCTCATTGTGATCATCATCCTCGTCGTCCTCGTCATCATCCTCATCGTCCTCATCGTCATCGTCATCATCCTCATTGTCATCGTCATCATCCTCATTGTGATCGTCATCATCCTCATTGTCATCGTCATCATCGTCATCGTCATCATCGTCATTGTGATCGTCATCATCCTCATCGTCATCATCCTCATTGTCATCGTCATCATCCTCATTGTGATCGTCATCATCCTCATTGTGATCGTCATCATCCTCGTCGTCCTCGTCATCATCCTCATTGTGATCGTCATCATCCTCGTCGTCCTCGTCATCATCCTCATTGTGATCGTCATCATCCTCGTCGTCCTCGTCATCATCCTCATTGTCGCCGCGCGGAGACGACACCGCATACCGCCCCGTAACAAGACGTCCCCCCCCACCTGCCACCCACTCCCTTCCCCGAGCACCCCCCCTTCCCCCCCCCAACCACCCCCCCACCCCCCCGAGCACCCCTCCCCTTCCCCACCCTGCCCCCCACCCCCCCACCCAAATACCCCCCCACTCCCCCCCCCCCGAGCACCCCCCCCAACCACCTCCCCACTCCCCCCCCGAACCCCCCTCCCCCCGCCCGACCAGTCACCGCGGTAGGAACAACACGTGCAGAAGCAGTCGGGCTGAACGATTTGGGGAAAATGTCTAATTGCGATTTTCCTGACAGATATTGCGATTTGATTTGCGATTAAATGTTCTTAAGTCAAGCTTCAGTTCAAGATTCACTGTGTAATATATTTAAAACATGTGATGGAGAATTCCCACATGATAACATCAAAATATGAACTGCTCTATATATTCTAATGCAAGGATGATAACTTAAAATATATGAATTGCTTCCAACATGTATTTATTAAAATGTTTTAATTGCAATAGAACAATCAAGCATAGAACAATTGTTACGTTAAATAAATAAAGTTACACTAATAATAATAAATAAAACAATTCCGATAAGAAAATAACACGACTTTTCAAATCGCTAAAAAAATCGCAGCCTTTGCGATTTGCTCATCTACATCGTTTCAAATTGCGAGTTCGACTTGACATCGATTCATCGTTCAGCCCGAGGCAGCAGTAGCGTCAGCAGAACGCCGCGTGCAGTCTCTGCCAAAGGGTTTAATGCAAAGCAGCCGCTTTGTTAATCCGTGACTTATTTTTACGGATAAGGATCTCCCTTTGTTGGCGATCAAAAGCGAGCAATTGAGCGGACTCTTCACCAACGCGCTGACGTACATGCCGACCATCATCATCATCAACAACAACGACAACGATCAAAGGAAGACGGGGAAAAATTCCCCTTGTAGGCTTTGACAGACTGCTGGCTGGGACAAGTGCTGGTTAGCGCGTAGCGCCTCGGAAGGCCGCAACGACACACGATGAGATGAGTGGATAGCCAGCAACCACGCACTCCCGGCCGCCTTTGTCTCCCTGGTGGCGATGTTTACACACCACACCGGGGTACTCATTCGAGGCCGAGTCGACTTAGGGGAAGGGCCCCCGGGTTGGGTTCAAATAAATCGTCACTCGGCCGTTGGTGGTCGTGGCGATCGACAATCGAACTCGAGAGCTTTCGCCGGGTTCGTTGGCGCCGCGCTAACCGCTGCGCCACCGCTCCACCACCACCACCGCCGCTCTACTACCACCACCGCTCCACCACCACCACCGCCGCTCCACCACCACCACCGCTCCACCACCGCTCCACCACCACCACCACTGCTCCACCACCACCACCGCTCCACCACCACTACCACCACCGCTCCACCACCACAACCACCGCTCCACCACCACCACCACCGCTCCACTACCACCACCGCTCCACCACCACTACCACCACCGCTCCACCACCACTACCACCACCGCTCCATCACCACCACAACCACCGCTCCACCACCACCACCACCGCTCCACCACCACCACCGCTCCACTACCACCACCGCTCCACCACCACTACCACCACCGCTCCACCACCACTACCACCACCGCTCCATCACCACCACAACCACCGCTCCACCACCACCACCGCTCCACCACCACCACCACCGCTCCACTACCACCACCGCTCCACCACCACTACCACCACCGCTCCACCACCACTACCACCACCGCTCCACCACCACAACCACCGCTCCACTACCACCACCACCGCTCCACCACCACCACCACCGCTCCACTACCACCACCGCTCCACCACCACTACCACCACCGCTCCACCACCACTACCACCACCGCTCCACCACCACAACCACCGTTCCACCACCACCACCACCGCTCCACCACCACCACCGCCTCCGCAGCAGCAGCGACAATGCTCGCTCTCTCAGCGGAGGCGCGCGCAGATTCCCAAAACACTCGCCAGGCCGAACTCGGGCGCAATTTTATATATTTTTATTTTTATTCTCTGTCTCTTCCCCCCTCCCTCTCTCCCTCCCTTTCCCTCCATCTCTCTCCCTCCCTCTCTCCCCATCTCTCTCTCTCTCTCTTGATAAACGACGGCGGGCGAGGGAAAGAATCAAGTTCCGCGTGACATGAAGCGACTCTGCGTGTGAGCGCCAGCCACTCCGATAATTATCAGCGATGTTCCAACGCCACTTCTCACCGCCGCCGTGCTGTGGTCGTTGTTGTTGATGATTGTTGTTGTTGTTAGTTTTTGTTGTCTAGGCATGTACATCGTGTCCAGTGCTCGAGTGTGCTGACTTTATACATTCGTGATTCGTATGGCAATTAGACAGCCATGGAGGTGTGATGGCATCTCCCCCCCCTCCTCCTCCACCGCTCTCCTCCTACTGCCTGGCTTGCCCTCCCCCACTCGCCCTCCGCTCTCCCTCTCCGTACCCCCCCCCCCCCCCCATCTCTCTACGCTCTCTCTCCGCTCCCATCTCTCCCCCCCCCACATCTCTCCGCAACTCTCTCTCCCCTCCCATCTCTCTCCACTCTCTCTCTCTCTCCCCCCCCTGTTTCTCTCCGCTCTCCCTCCCCCTCTCCTCCTACCCCCATTTGTCTCTCCCTCGTTTCTCCCTCGTTTCTCCCTCGTTTCTCCCTCGCCCATTCCCTGACGTCGCCGCTGTAACTACACTTCTCCCCAGCACTCGTCACCCCCCCCTCTCCCCCCCCCCCCCCCCCCCCCCCCCCACTTCCACCACCCCCTCCCCTCTTCCCCAGCCCGTTATCTTTCTCCTGGTGTCTCCGATCTGGGTGTCTCTCCGCTCTGTTTCGCTCTCCGCAATTCCCCTCCCTCCCCCCTCCCAAATCTCCATCGCGCGCTTTCCACCACCGATTCTCCTGGCCGATCGCCAACGCGATCTCTCTGCTAATCTGCGCATCTCTGGGATATCTCCCGCGCGATATCTCTTCCCAGCAGCTTCATTACTCCGGGATGTGCGCGCGCGTGCGTGCGTTCGTGCGCGCGCCAGGAGCGGTGGCGCAGTGGTTAGCGCGCTGAATCGAATATCGGTGGCGAATATTTGTTCACTCGTCCTGTGCCTCGCGCAGGTTGACTCGGCCACAAATGAGCACCTGGTGGCGATGTGTAAACATCGCCACTGGGGAGACAAAGGCGGGCGTGGCGTGGCGTGGCGTTGGCCACCCACTTCCTCGTGTGCCGTGCCGGCCTTCATAAGTGCGACTCGCTAACAGCACTTGCCCCAACAGTCTGTTACAGGCTACGCGGGGGATCTTTGTCTTTGTTTGAGAGAGGGGGGGGGGACGCGTGTGCATGCGTGCATGACTCCGCGTGCTCCCGGTGTTAAAGAGAGAGACAGATATTAGATGTAAACGAATCCTAAGCTGAAGATCTTAATTGCGCCTTTTAATGAGCAACGACTTGGAATTCAAGAGAGAGGGAAGGAGGGAGGGCTTGTGATGCCTTCAGTGGGCTGTTAGAAAGTTATGCCCTTTCCATGAAATAATAGCAACAGCCAACTTCAGATTTGCGTGCACAAGCCGCTGATTAAACATTGTAACGAGCAAACGCCCTCTTCCTCGCCCTGCCGGGAACGTGTTGATCTCTCCTCGCGCGCGCCGCTCCCTGCCTCGCGCCTGCAATGCGCGCGTCGCCACCTCGTGACGCCCGTGCGTGGTTCTCGACACCCTGCTCGTCAACATGCCCAGCGCCACCCTGCCCAGCGCCACCCTGCCCAGCGCCACCCTGCCCAGCGCCACCCTGCCCAGCGCCACCCTGCTCGTTAACATGCCCAGCGCCACCCTGCCCAGCACCACCCTGCCCAGCGCCACCCTGCTCGTTAACATGCCCAGCGCCACCCTGCCCAGCACCACCCTGCCCAGCGCCACCCTGCCCAACATCACCCTGCCCAGCGCCACCCTGCTCGTTAACATGCCCAGCGCCACCCTGCCCAGCGCCACCCTGCCCAGCGCCACCCTGCTCGTTAACATGCCCAGCGCCACCCTGCCCAGCGCCACCCTGCCCAGCGCCACCCTGCTCGTTAACATGCCCAGCGCCACCCTGCCCAGCGCCACCCTGCCCAGCGCCACCCTGCTCGTTAACATGCCCAGCGCCACCCTGCCCAGCACCACCCTGCCCAGCGCGACCCTGCCCAACACCACCCTGCCCAGCGCCACCCTGCCCAGCGCCACCCGGCTTGTTAACATGCCCAGCGCCACCCTGCCCATCAGCAGCACCCTGCCCGACACCTTGCGCACGGGCACGTTATCGGCGCGTGGTTCAACACCCAACGCAACCGCCACAGCTCCACGCGCCGGAAATATGCTTCGACAGCGCCGGGAGCTATGAGCCGCCCCCCCTCCACATCCCCCCCCCCCCACGTCTCACCCCCCCCCCATCTCCCCTACCGCTCCCCCGAACACACCTCACCACCTCCCCTCATCAGCTGACTCCGATGACGGGGACTCGTCGCGGGGGGTGTAATGGGAGCTGCCTTAATTGAAGCGTCAGTCGGCACGGTTCGCACAATTAATGCCTCTAACGAGCACGGGCGGAAATAGCGGGAAATGAGGCCAAACTTAGAGCGAGCGGGGAGGGGAGGGGTTGTCGCGGCGGCGGGTGAGAGATGGTCTGGAGCAGTGGTTCTTAACCTTTAATGCGGCCTTGAAGCCCTTTGGTTCGCAATGGGTAAAAAAAAAATTGTTAGAATGTTAATAAGTACACGGGCTGCGTTGTAGTGGTGCTTAATTTGTGTCTTTTTGATGGTTTAACTTGGCCACGTCTCGCTAACCCCCCCCCCCCCCCCCCCCAGAAAGGGCTTCGCGTGCCACCGCAGGTGAAGAGCCGCAGGTGTGAAGGGGAGAGGGGCATAGAGCATCACAGGAACTTCTGTCATCCTCGCAGCAGCAGCCACTTGTCGGCTGCCCATCGAACAAAGACGGTCACGGGATCGCGCGCTGTCTGCTGCGCTCCTGCGGCCATCTGGAACGCTCTTTCCTTGCGATGTTGTGAGCCCACTGGGACTGTCCACTTTTACATCGAGTTTGGAAACCCATTCACTGCCATAATGAGCCAAGAATGTCTGTGTGTCCCGCGCGTGACGTCACTCCACGTCGGCCAGCCCCCATCATTAATAATCATTATAAGGTGACGTCCTCCACATGGACCCCCCCCCCCCCCCACTCATTAATAATCATGAACAGGTGACGTCACTCCACATCTAACAACCCCCCTCATTAATAACACTGGTCAACACACTTTTTCTGGCATAAGGTATTCCAACGGTTTTAAGGTAATTTTGGGGTGCTGATTCCAAATCTGGCATCACATCAGGTTTTTGAGATATCAAATTTTGCATTTTCAATCAAAACTGCAGAAGAAAAATATTAAATAAATGTGGATATCTACATAAAATTATATTATAAACACACTATCCTAAAAATACAGCACCGTAGTTTAACACTAAAGCAGTCACTGACTCGCAACAACTTGCAATCATAAGTGACAGAATTAATTTCGGGTAAAATCAATGAAAATGGGGTATGCCGATAGCATAAAAATGAGATGTGATAGAGCAAATCTGAGATCAGATTTGGAATCAGCACCCTGAATTAGTCTAAAACAGCCGCAAAAGTCCAGGCCGGAATTTTTTTTTTTGTTGACCAGTGTAATTATTATAAGGTGACGTCCTCCAAATAGACACCCCCCCCCCCCCCCCATTCATAATAATTAGCGAGTGACGTCACTCGACATGGGGGGGGGGGGCTTTTATTTACCTGGTGCGATGCGTAAACATCGCCACGAGGGAGACAAAGGCGAGCGGGCGAGCGTGGTGCTCACTTACCCACCCACCCTCTCGTTGTGCCGTGCCGGCCTCCAGAGGTGCTGCTCGCGAACGGTACAAAGCGTCTGCTCGCGAAGATCGTGGTGTTTGTGTGAGCGTGTGAGCGCGCGCGTGCGATCTCGCGGTCGCCTTTTGTTTTTCTCTTTCTCCGTCGGTAATTGAGGCTGTAGGGGTCAGTGTCTATGAAAGCTGAAAGGAAAAGTTGTTATTTTTTTACGCTGCAAGTTCTGGCAGGTAATTAAACAACGAATGCGTAGCCAGAACGAGAAATCAGAGCCCCCCCCCCTACGCCCCCCCACGCCCCCCCCCCACCCCCAATGAACATCGCACCCACGCTCCCCCCCCCCAACCCCACCCCCTCCCCGTTGCCTCGTAGTCGTCTTGACCTCGGCCGTCGAGCGAATCGTCAATAATTTAGTTTAAAGAAATCAGCGCGTGGTTTCGGTGGCTCATTTTCTTCGCAGCCTTTGTCAAGGTTTGTGATGGACTACTCGTGTTGGTTTAATGGAGTTGTTTTGGCCGTAGTTCACCACCACCACCACTAGACCCAGACGGCGGTGCACGGTAGGGTGAAGAGGTTAAAAACTTCCACGCAGACCCTAAAACGATGTTTAAGGCCCTAGCCAGCTCTTGGAGCTCATTTTGTTCTCAGAAGCGAACTAAAGCCCATGAATGACGGCTCAACGAGAGGGTCTTATCACGTGGATATGTACAGCAGCCAAATACTCTAAAGCCATGTGGCGGTGGGGGAGAGGCGGGGGGGCAAGGGGGGGGGAAGGACCAGGTTCAAATATTATTCACCACTCATGCTCCCCGTGGCCTGGCGAATCGAACGCGTGCCAGGGGCGGGTTCGTAGCGCGGTGCGCGTTAACCACTGCGCCACCGCTCCACCCTACTCACTCTACGCCTTAACGAGGGCAATTAACCGATAGAGCAACGGCGTCTGTCTTAAAGCGCACGTTAAAGACCCCCGTGGGGAGGGGGGGGGGAGTTGAGAATTCGCCGGAGCAGCGCGTTGATTGGCCGTGTCACCGACTTTCGTGCGCGCGTTCCTTTAGTCACCTCGCACAAACACAACCCCGTCAAAGATCCCCCCCGCCTCAGGTATGGTTGCTTTAACAAGCTGTTGGGGCAAGTGCTGTACGCGAGCAGCGTCTATGAAGAAGGCCGGCACGGTGGCACACGAGGGGGTGGGTGGCCAAAAAACACGCCCGGCACACCGGGAACTCATTTGCGGCTGAGTCGACTTAAGGGAGGCCCAGGACCGGTTCCGATAAACGTCACCGATGTTGGGCGCGAGCGGTAATCGAACTTGAGTCTTTTTTTAAAATCCTTTATATTAAGTTCACTTGCTTGCTTGCGCGCTTACGACCGTGCAAATCTTTCGGTCGTTTTTTAACCCACTTCCCGTGATCCAATCGAGCTGACATTTTGCACACAGACTCGTTGTGCGTGACAATTTATTTTCGGAAAAAAATAATTCATATTTAATTTAAAATACCAATGTGATAAAAATGAAACTCTTACTCAAGAAAAACTGAAATTAATAATAAAATAAAACCGATGCCACGCATATAAAGGATTTATAGTGAAAAACTTTGTTTTTACGGGTTAATTTTTGCCGGCTCGGGCAGCGCATTGCGTGCTAAAGCGCTGCACCACCGCTCCCCCACCACGCGCGCACAGGCACGCAACGTGACTCCATCCCTCCCGCTCCCCCCCACACACGCGCACTCCCCAATGACGGTGCATTTCATAGGCAATAAATTATTCACCGCTCCGCGAAATAACTCGGCACGCGATTCCTTCCGTGCCGTTCGCATTCCTCGCCTCCTCTCAAAACGCCACGTCGCTCGCCTGCAGATAACGTTAATTGATGTGGGTCCCATCAGCCGGTGGCTACCCCCCCCCCCACCACCACCAACCTCCCCCAAAACAGCCCCACCTCCAACATCAGAAACCCGTCCCCACTACGATTTGCATATATTTTCTGTTTCCAATATAGCAAATCGTCAATAACGCTGTGTAAATTTAAAAGAGGGGTGCGGGGAGGGAGGGACACACATTGTGAATAGAAGACGTTTCGGGCATTGACCTTTCTTCACAGCGCATAACATAAACACTGTGCACTCCTATCGTGTTTTTGTTGTAGCGTTCTTACCCGCCCCGACTGAACATCTGTGGGAAAAAATATATATTTATAGATCATCGTATTCCTCCAGTATAAATACACATTTTTATTCTGATATTCTGAAGAAGGTCCTGGTGGTGGTGGTGATGATGAGAGGTTGAGGGAAGAGAGGAAGAACGAGAGAAGAAAGGAGCGAGCACAAGTGAGCAGCTGCGTGAAGGAGCGGCGTGTGTTTTCACAGGAGGCGGGGAGAGGGGAGGGGACTCAGAGTGGGAGTGGCCTCACGGAGGTCACGTGATTTAAATATATAAATATATAGCCGGCCAGGTGGCTCAGCGGTAGAGCGAACGACTCGCGATCGAATCGGATAACGAGTTCACATCCCGGCTGGGGCGGAGTGGGTGTGTTGTTGGTTGGCCCGGCAGACTATCATCTCCCGAATGGGGGGTCGATAAAATAGCTACCACTTTATATGGAAATCAACAGTGCTTGTTCTGTAGATAGACCCTCCTGCCCCCCGCCATAATAATGTTGAATTTCCACCACCGTCTCGACAGCGCTTGTGAACAGGAGGTTGAACACCTCATCTATAACAATGCTCAAATGTTGAGCCGGAACTTACTTTGACTTCAGGGTCAGTACTCAAGGATGCCGGGTCATGAAGCTCTTTCACACGACGAGAGCGCATCTGGAAACAATCTCGGATGTAAATTTGCGAGCATTTTTTTGCCCATCACGTGGCAACTTGGCTCGCCTCTGTCGGGTGGCGGAGGGTACAGTTTACACAAATTACCATCGAATCCGATTGCAGGTGGCGGGTGTTTGCCATATCGTCTCACACACAAACACAGATCCCCCGTATAGCCTCAACAAACTGTTGGGGCAAGTGCTGCTAGCGAGTATCGATGAAGGCCGCCACGGCACACGAGGGGGTGGGTGGCCAGCACAACGTCCCGGCCGCCTTTGTCTCCCCAGTGGCGATGTTTTACCCATTGCACCAGGTACTCATTTGACGATCAGTCAACGTCGGAGAGGGCCCATAACCGGTTCAGATCATTGTCACTGATGTTGGCAATCAGCAGGAATCTCACACACCGCACACACATCACACACACACCGCCGTGAGCACGTACGGCAGGTCGGTAGGTGGGTACATCTCGTACAATAGGCAGCGCTCGCAAGGAGATTGCCTGTCACAGATTACCCAGGACCCCCCTCCCTCCCTCCCCCACACGATAGCGATGTTTTAGTTCTAATGAAAGATTCACTTCGTTAGTTATTCCG